GAGAGAGAGAGAGAGAGAGAGAGAGAGAGAGAGAGAGAGGCTTACCAGTTTGAGGGAAGTGGGAGTTATACCAAGTGCGTATACACAGGCTTTCTTGTATAACGCTTAGAATTTTGGGAGTTATAGTCGCCTGAGTGCATATACACAGGCTTTCTTGTATAACGCTCAGAATTTTAGAGAAATTTCCGAAGCATCCTCATATCGTGTTCGTTTGCATCTCGTGTGTGGAGATTTCAAGATTTGTGTGATGGAGTTTGTAACTTTGTATGCGTGACAACATTGTACAAACTTTTCTTTATGGTTTTCTCCTTCTTTCTTTTTCTTTTTTTTTGAAAAGGTTCGAACTTCGAAAAGCCCCATTTTTATTATCATTGCTGGAAAGCAGGTCCAGTGTCCCTTACATGCATGGTACTCACACAGACGCCTTTCTCCCTCCTTCCCCCCCGCCCCCCCCCCCCCCCCCCCCCCCCCCCCCCCCCCTCCCGCTTTCTTTTGTTTTAAATTTAAATTTCCATATATATATATTTTTTAACTGTATTTTGGCTTGTTTCAGGGTCTAAGAGCTTCCATTAATCAGGTGGCTGGGCACCGTTTCCAAGGTATGCCCTCTTTTTGTTTCTTCTTCGTTTTTTAAACTCTTTTCTGTCTTGTTCTTTTTTTGCTTGTTTTGTTCTGGGTGTAGTAGTAGGGTGTAGAACATGGGGTTTAGGGTGAAGGGTGCAGTGTTTACGGTTTAGGGTTTAAACTTGAAAGCTTAAAGGTCAGGGTTTAAGGTTTAAGCCTTTAAGGTTTAAGTTTAGGGTTTAGGGTTTAGGGTTTAGGGTTAGGTCGTCTCCGTACCCTTCAATGAATCAATATGTGATTCTCTTCATCATTTATGTCTTCTTCTTCTTCTTCTTCTTCTTCTCCTTTTTTTTTTTTTTTTTTTTTTTTTTCAAACAACAGTTCCTTGTGCGAGGCTACGCCCGCTCAGCCCCTTCAGGGCCCTTTTTGCAGTATGTCGGCCGCCCTAAGTGAAGGCAGGCGCGACAGGCCCTCAGGGCCTCGATTTTCAGGGTACCCCGCAACTGGTGAAATTCAGACAGTTGCGCTGCGCCAGTTGGTTGAAGGCGCCCAGGCCCAGGCCATATTTTGCAAATGTATCTGAATGGTGACCTGGGCCAGACGCGTGAAAAAGGCCGTGAGCAGGCCAAGGGCAGTTGGGCACATGCAACCATCAGGCCCTGGGCCTGCGTGTGAGGTCTGGGCCTGTGCCTACCGGGGCCTACCGGAAGCTTCCTGGACTGGACGCAGGCAGGCGACTTCGATAAAGGGAAGGGCCTGCCTCCTCATTCGGCATTCGGGTGCTGGCTGCATGCTGCGCGAGCGCTGCGCTATTTGCTGGCTGGCTGGCACTCACGCTCTCACAGGCGAGCAAGAAGTAGCGGGCAGCCATAGCCGAGCTGCTCCGCTGTGAGCTGGGTGTGACGCAGCGTGGTCCTTGGGTGCAAGTGGCATCTGTGTGGTGTGGATCGAGGTTGTGAGTGTTGCGAGAGACATACCTGGTGCTGGAAGCGTGCGGCATTGTCCGCTGTATGCTCGTACTTCAGGGAGCTGTTGTTGTCAACATCGGCATTGTAGTATTAGGCTAGATAGGATCTGCCACAAGTAGTCTGGGCGCCGAGCGCCAATAGGATATCAACTCTTGTTCTTCATTGATGATGATGAGAGACTATTTCAGCATTGTCAATTACGAACTATTGGTGTGTTCTGATTTGGTGAATCTCGTGATGCATGACTGCTGTTGGTTCAAGGTCAAGACTATCTGGACACATATGTATGATGCTGTTTGGTTGCTGGAGTTCGCTAATGCTCATCTTCCTTGCACTTGCATCACAACAGATGGAAACTAGTAGCGAGAAGATGAGATAGGGAAAAAAAAAAAAAAAAAAAACTGGGTCCAGCATCCCTCACAATCTTGAGACACCCCCAAAGCGCAGGATCTCTGGCAGGATTAATGCCCTTAATTTTGTTTTCTTCTTTTCAGTCCAGCATTGTTGTCCAGGTTCTAGTTTTTTTTTTTTTTAATGATGGTTTCACAATTATTAATAGATCCACGAGGATTCGAACGGAGCACTGTCAGTATAGAGCAATTCATGAATATAGACTGTTATAAAGGGATAAGGGTAGAAGGGAAGTTATCGAAAGTTGAAAATTTCCTTCTTCAAGCTTGTTAAGCTCCAGTGTCCAAATCACTGAAATCAAATGAAATCCCTCCCTTCGCCAGGGATCGAACCCACAACCTGCTTCATTAAAGTCAGATTTCATACCCTTTCCTTCTTCACACGCCGCCAGAGTCGTCTATAGGATCGGGACCGGGACCGTTGAAATGTCGCCAGAGTTGGAATTAAAAAAGGCCTCTCTACAGACACCGACCGGTAGGCTTATGCCTGGAAAATAGCCAGGCCTATTGAAAATAGCCAGCGATGGAAAACAGGCAGTCCTTGAGAACAGCCATGCCTGGAAAATACCCAGGCTTGGGAAATATCGAAGCTTAAAAATAGCCAAGCCTGGATAATAGCCAGGCATGGCAAATAGCCAGACCTGGAAAATAGCCCAGCTTGGAGAATAGCCAAGCCTGGCTCCTCGTAGAGCCTTGGGCAAGGCGTGGCAAGCAATTTGCGAGAATGTCCATGATCGTTTCTGTTTTCTGAAAAATATACCCTTGCCCTTGTTTGGCTCTCCTCTAGGGCGAGGCCCCACTTAATGTGGATTCTTTGTGTCCAACCGTAGATTGCGATGGTTTCGTATCCAACCATCGATTGGGATGAACAACGGTCCGAATCGCAGATATCTAGAAAAGGCCCTTTTATTTTATAGGTGTTTTTCACTTGTCTTTTCTCAGATACATTCCAAACTGAATCTGTATAAGGGACGCTCGACCCGTTTTCCAGCTGGTGATGCTCCCCACCAATAGATGGAGCCTCCCCCCTGGAATGCTAGTGGTGTCTGCTCTTACCAGTACCACTAACACTGAAGGGGGCGTTTTCAAAAAAAAAAAAAAAAAAAAAAAAAAAAAAAACTATCATAATAGTGATTTACTTGCTCTCAACCTTTCGTAAAACAACTGTAAATTTTAAAAACAGTTAAAAACACAAAATGTTAATAAAATTACTTTTGTTTTTATACATGACCATTTGGGTACTTCTCATTGTCTTATCTTTCTCATTCCTTTTATCAATGCCAAGTTTGTTGTCCTCTTCTCCCTCTCTGAACTTTATCAGATTCTTCGCCAGAGGTGGCTGTGTCTTCTCTGGCCTCTATCTCAGTGTGTCTATCCTGAGCGCTTTGTGTCTTCTCTGGCCTCCATCTCAGTGCGTGAGCAATGGAACGGAATCGTCTGCCTATCTGACGTCTGGGTCAGGGAGACTTCTGCCCAGACGTATGTGTTTACCATCAGAAATTTCTCCAAGTCGTAGCAAAAAGGATACGCCCTTCACGCCCCCCCCCCCCCCCCCCCCCCCCCCCCCGCCTTCCCGCCATCTCTTCCTCCTTAAACCACCAGTCTATGGCCCCAGCCAAGTTGACAATTGCCGTTGAGCCCCTCCAAAGGGACGGGGCCTCCGAAGGGGGACTGGAGAAAAAAAAAAGGTCCCACACCTTGGGGTGGGACCGGGCACACAGCACTCGACAAGAAAAAAATTTCGCCCACCCCCAGGCGGGCCCTGTCCCAACTCCCCCCGAGTCCCCAAATTTTTCGGAGAGGCTCATTCGTGATTCTCCAGATGTACTGGTCATTTAATGGGATTCAGTCCTTCACATTATCGCATTCAGATGACGCACTTGGGACTCGAACTCATGGTCTGTGGCTGTTGACTTTCTGAATAGTTATGTGTTGTGTTGTACCGCGTACTATTCACAGAGATGGATTCTCGGATGGCATGGCATGAAGCATTTGGGGCCCTTGCGACCTGGTGGGGCAGGCGTGCTATTCTTTCATCATCATCAACCCACTCCCCCTCCTGCCTGTCCCAGATGTGGCCAATTTTGTGCACTCCTTTGGCTAACCCTTGGCGATCGAATGCACCCTGGACCCCCTGCCAGGGCCAGGGGTTGTCGGCTTCCATGCGAATAAATGAGATGCCAGAAATCACACCCGCGACAAGATCTTATGCGCTGTTCGAGGAGGGACCGGTTGGAACGCAATATTCCACCAGGTGCCTAGGTTGCAATCAGATTCGTTTTCAAACACACTTTTCACACATGTAAACAGTAACGCAGCACACTGGCGACATGCGCCCACTCAAAACTCAGAGATATGGCTTCAGATACGAGTTCACTCTCAAATGGCTATGGCGACTCCAGCGCCCAAACATCTCACTGTTCACATACACTGGATCACCCTGGATATCCCACACGCATCACTCTAACACTCACTACTAACTACAGCTATGGCAGCTATGGCTGCCTCTAACCTATCGCTATGCTAACTCCTCCTCTCTTGCCCACTGCGTCCTCCGGGCT